GGATCGATCTTGCCTTTTCACAAGGCCAAATGGTCGATCCGACGCATTTCCAGAGGGGTCTCAACAGCAATAGCCAGAACGAACTCAGTCTCTAGCTGCATTTAATAATGGGGTGGCTGCAGCCATATTCCGCGCATACATGCCAAAACAAACACTCTCTCCGTTCCACCATTGCGGGCGCCACCTTGAATAAACCTCCATGATACTGCAAAACTTAATAGGTTCAAATCCTATTTGAAGAGTTTTATATACTAGTAACTTAATTATTTCATAAAATAATTCAATTAAATAATTTTGTTAACCAATTTGCACACAACTCTTTTAAAGTTTAACGATCTCCGAATTCTTCAACTCCGACAGCTCAATTCAGGAGGGGATTAACCATGCATTGATCCACACCTTATTCCTTTCAATTTGAGGAGTACTATACAGTATAATGTGTTGAATATCACACAATTGAGTTGTCTATTTGCGCTGTGATAGCACGAAGTGTAGTTTGAGCGGAAAGTGGCACTTGAATAATTTCGTTTGCACTTGATTTGCTGTGAATGCAATCTTTTGGCCCACTTTACCCTTCTTCATGCTGTAAACTGATACATTCATGTTGCCTTCAACAACTCCAGGTCCATGGCATGAGCAAGGGCTTTGAAAACACTGGCAGCATTGCAGTTGTAATTTTTGACAAGGTATTGGTCAAAACCATTCGAGCCTTGCGGAGTAGACATCGTAACTCTTCAGTATGTTCTCACGAAAGTTGGCTTCAAGCTCCTCTTTTGAAAGACCTGGCCTTTCGATTCCCAACTCGAGTACATGCATGCTGAGAGTGTTTGTATTCTAGGATAAATTGTACTACTTTTAACATGTTGAACCCTAAATTCGACATGTTACGGTGGCGACAACGGTGCATAAGATACATCAAATGGCATTCTTCGCGCCTTGTGTCGTGTCGTCCGGTCAGGGCTGCGGAATATGTTGCGGCGAAGAATTCAAACCATTTGATATAACAGTAATTTAAAATAACCAGACATGTACACTTCCCTCACAATCGTGCTATAATGGTGGAACGGAGTTTAATGATGACATTTAGAGGAACCCAAAATTTTCGACCGATAATGGCGTTATTGTGTGATATATACCAGGCAGACACTAACTGGGCATTCAGGAGATCGTATGGATTATGCAAGAGGCTCTTCTGCATCGCTCTAAACGCCGTCCCTCTGACGTTGACGTAACCTGACGAGCATGAAGGGCCATGTTACGAGTGTTTCGTATCGTCGAACTGTTGAAATGTAAGGAACTCTATGTTTGTATACTCATTTATGAAGACCAAATTGCCAAAAAACGCGAATACAAAATGCAAGATGAATGAATTCTCCAAGTGCGTGAAATGTCATTTTGGTTTGATTGGACGGCGGTTTGTTGCTGGCGCGACCACGGACCGACCTCCTCATTCATTTCCACCACCAGCGCACGAGACAGGTAGTCCGCCGCCGCGACCATGCAGCACGACGAAGTAATTTGGGGCGTCATCAACAACCAGTTCTGCTCGTTCAAGAGCAAGTACGTAGCCGTGCCATCCTGCGCTCTCTTTTGACGCTAGTGCTGATGATTCGACCACAGGCTACGCGAAGGTTCTGCGTTCTGCCGGAACGAGTACAACGTCACCGGGCTCTGCAATCGGTGCGTGTTGTGCGTGAGCATGATATATGTTCTAACGCCATCGTGCTCTAGGCAATCGTGCCCATTGGCAAACAGTCGATATGCCACCATCCGCGAACACAACGGCGTGTGCTTCTTGTACATGAAGGTTCGCCACTGCTTGACATTCTCGGTGCCGCCATAGACGCCTCATACCCGGCTTCTAGACTATTGAGCGCGCGCATTCGCCTAAGAACCTATGGGAAAAGGTCAAGTTGTCCAAAAACTACACCAAGTCCCTTGCTCAGTTGGACGAACACTTGCAATTCTGGCCCAAGAAGCTCATCCATCGCAACAAACAGCGCTTGACCAAGATCCATCAGTACCTCATGCGCATGCGAAAGCTTCGCATGAAGACCAAGCCCAACTTGGTCGTCATCTCGAAGAAGATCGAGCGCCGCGAATCGCGCCGTGAAGAGAAAGCTAAGGTCGCTGCCAAGCTTGGTACAGTCTTGTGCAATTCGTTGCTCTAGATCTCACCGTGGCTTTGGTGTGCCAGAAACATCGATCGAAAAGGAGCTGCTGGAACGGCTGCAAAAGGGCACATACGGCGACATTTACAACTTTCCCGAGCGCGAATTTACCAAGCTCCTGGACGAACACGAGGAAATCGAGGAGGAGCAGAGCGAAGACGAAGAGTTCGAAGGGGATGGCGAAGTCGAGTTCGTTGAGGTGGGTTCCATTTCGCCGACCTGTCGATCGATCGCATGGATCTCACGGTGCACACGTGTGTAGGATTTCGACGACGAAAGCGACATGGAAGACTATGAGCAACAAGGCTCGGGTGAGGACGACGATGACGACGGTGACGATAGCAGCAGTGACGAAGACCAGCCCAAGCGCAAGAAGCCCAAGCGGCAACCTGCCCCCAAAGGCCCGTACGTCGAGATCGAGTACGAGCACGAACAGGAATCGGCCACGTCATAAACACGCTCCCAGTTTTGAACAACGAGGTGTACTTCAACGTGTTGGACGTACGATGTACGACTCGCATACTGTTGAAAAGTATAATCGACCGTCCGCAAGTTCAAAGTCCGCACATTGTTCCACCATGGAGTGCGACGGCCGGGACTGTCGTGGCCGCGCTGGCCCGGGCAACATGTTACGAGTGAAGAGTGAGGGTGCTGCCAGTGGGAAATCTGCATGGGCAAAGCATTCTCCATCCGGTCCACCCATTCCTGGTCATCGAGCCCGCCCAAGTTGCACGCAACGACGGCACGAAGGTTTGATAAGAATCCTCCTCTCCATATTGTACACAATCGCAGGTGCGACGACCAGACAAATGAAGACGACGAAACACAGGGCGATTGCCACGAGGAGGCGCGAGCGATATTGGACCAACACAGATTTATTGATTGCGTTGATACTTGTGTCGAACGGATTCCAACTACCATCTTGTAGCCAGAGCCCGAAGAGCAGAGCCGAAGGAGCCGAGAGCAAGGCGAGAAAGGCAAGTCCCCGCCATGCGCTTAGAGGCGGCGACCGCGGCGACCACCCTTTCGGCGAGTGCTGTCCGTGGGGATGGGCGTAGCATCTTCAATGCGGCCAATCTTGAGGCCGTTACGGGCAAGCGCGCGCAAGGCAGATTGGGCACCAGGGCCGGGGGTCTTGGTGCGGTTACCGCCGGTGGCACGGATCTTGACGTGCAACGCGGTGACACCGACGTCCTTGCACTTGGCAGCGACGTCTTGGGCGGCCAACATGGCAGCGTAAGGCGACGCTTCATCACGATCGGCCTTGACCTTCATGCCACCAGTGACACGCACAATCGTTTCACGGCCCGACAAGTCGGTCACGTGCACAAACGTGTCGTTGAACGAGGCAAAGATGTGCGCCACACCAAAGACTTCTTCCCCCTCGCGGTTGGTGGGTCCGAGCTTGACGACTTCCGTCACGGTTTCCACAGCCTTCGTCTTCTTCGACATATTCTTCAAGTGGGGGATGGAGGCCGTCAAATGAAGGAATGGGCCACCGCCCCCGTGGCCAGCGCCGGGACAACCAATGGATCCGCGTCCACCAATCAGCGGCGAGACAGGATATCCATTGCCACAGGACCTGTCACATTGCATTTCGACGCATTCGAAATCGATTTTAAAAGCATTTTTTATACACCCCCAAGGTCACCAGCATGGAGAGCATTGTCGACGGGGAATCGAGGAGACCAAGGCAAGCAGCTTGGCCGTACGGATTGCTGCACAAAGGAGTCTGGGCAGACAAGGCTGCTCTCTCGATGGACGATTCGCCTAGGAGATCATGCTGATTGCAATGCCGTGCGTTGGGTGTCGAGGAGTCCGCTCCAGCAGATTCCGCGACGACCACAACGTCTGGCGTGATTCCACGGACTCACATGGGACCATATCTACTAGTATATATCTTGCTCATCACGTCTAGATGTGTGCTTATTCCTTGTTCTTCTTCTTCTTCTTCTTTTTCTTCTCGGTCTCGACCGGTTCGTCGTCGGCTTCAACGACCGCCTCTTCCTTCTTGGCCTTCTTCGACTTCTTCTCCGACTTGTCACCGTCTTTGTTTTTGCGTTTCTTGAGTGGCGCCGCATTCTTGAGTGCTTCACTCACTTGCGCCATCACGTCCACATTCTTGCGTGGCGCCGCGCCGCTTTCGTAGAACGCCAGACGTTCCTCCACTTGCTCCTTCATCTGGTCACCGTACGCGGTTGTGGGTTCATCGATAAAGCTGTCAATGCGCGACGCAATCGCACACTTGTTGGCCAAGTAGCGGGAGATGCGGCCCTTGTTCTTGGCAGCAGCGCGACCGATGAAGCTCGAGTGAAAGAGGAGACCGTACTTGGGGGTGTTGCCGCGGGTCTTGAGCGCGCGGAAGAGCGCCTTCTCGGCACCCAGGATCTGGACGGTCGACGCCGGACACTTGGCCAAATTCGTCAACGACCCAGCGTGCGAGATCAAGCGGGCACCGACGGCGTCGCCGATCAGCGCGGCAAGGTTCGGTGCGACCTGGCCCATCTTCGAGTGCAGGTACGCTTGCAGCTGCAGGCGGTATTCGGCGAGGCCGATAAGGCGCGACGTAAAGTTGGCCACGTTTAACATGTCCAATTCGGACATGTCCATGCCCATGGACGTGCGGGAGGCGGCGACGATCGCGGTCGCCTTGTCTTCATCCATCGTGAGCTTCGACAGCTCTTCGATCGAGTCCTCGGACAGCGACGTGCGGTGCTTGATGAAGGCGGCGCAACGGGCGTACACGTAGTTGTCGGGTACGATCTTGACGAGCTCGGGAAAGTGCCACGAGTACCATTCACGGACGCGCATGGCAAACGTGTTGATGTCTTTGTCAAGTTGGTCGAGGAGCGCGATCGCTTGAATGATCATGTTGTCGGCGCGGTTCACGTTGAACTTTACCTTTGCACGAGAGTACGAGTGCCCGAGACCAAGCTGGGCCTTGGACCACACGCCATTGTCGAGCTCCTTAATGAACTTGGCAAAGTGGAGTCGCACCCCGCGCAAGACTTCGAGGGTCGTTTCGTTCGTGTTGACAGAAAGGTGGAGCGCATCCGTGATGGCTTGGGCAAGGCCCTTGTCCGACACACCGAGCGTGAACGCGGCCGACTTGGACTTTTTGGCCTTGGGGAGGTTCAACTCCAAGAACGCTTGCAAGTCGTCCGTGAGCAACCCTTCCGAGATCGCGTTGATGTTTTCGAGCGCCGATTCCGCAGATACAAACGGAGAGAACGCCTTGAGCTTGACGGCCGCGCCAAACTTGCTCAAATCTTGCACGCCTTGTTGAACTTGGTCCAAGAGGACGGCAATCTGCTCCGCTTCGACGACTTCAAAGAGTGCGTAGCCGGAAGCCGACTCAAACAACACAAACGAAGTCTACAAGGACACTCACATGAGCACATCTCGACACCCGTTGCGAATGACGACGGGAAGCGCATGATCACGGACGCCGCGGCGGCGGCACGTACCATTGTCGTGTGGAAATCGGAAAATGGTTGGCCACCGGATCCAAACTCGTGCGGTTGGTCCCCACACCACCAATCAAAACCACACGGCAATGTACCAAATGGCATTTCCCTCGTTTTACCGACTACAATCCCAACACAATCGCCTTCACGAGGTCAAATTCCCTTGATTTACCGACGTTCGATTGATGACCCAGTCATGGCAACGCATTCGATTGATCGTTTCACGGTCACACCAAATTCACTTGGATTCAGTATACTGAGCCCAAACATCAGCGGTCACGGGCAGCATGGACAATGCCAACTTCGACTCCATCGTCGTCGTCCGGCCGCTCCACGCGCAGCTGCGCTGGGGGCGACGGTCGATATCCCTTGTCAAGCTATGCGTCGCATGGTTGGTGTGGGGGGGCAACCTCGTTCTCGTTTTGCGTCCATGGTTCAAGCGTGTGTTGGTTCGTGCATGCGATCGTCGTGCATGATGCCGGTGATTGCGAGAACTTCGGGATTGCATGTCGCACGCTTTCGTTCGTCTGTGAATGGAATGCTACCTTCTATTGCCGTGTCGCCGCGCCACCGTCGTCGCTCGCGTCGTCCACGGGCACGCCGCCAGCCTGGAGCTGTTTGATGATCGCTTTGAGCTTGGCAACTTCTTCGCTGTCGGATGTCTTGCTGGCTTGGTTTGTGATCAACTTGACTCTTGCCGCGTACGACAAGCTCGTTTGCGTTTCATCCTGGGAGTTCAACATGGTCAAAGCGTGCCACACACGACGGTCGGATGGCCCTGGCTCACCTGGTTGTAGTCGGCCGGTGAAATGTTGACAAACATGAGCTACCACACACATGCATGAGTTGTCGTATCGGGAACGATGGCGAAGCAGCATCGTGTTTTACCGTCTTGGCGTTGCCACCGAGGGAATCTTGCATGAGCTGCGTCAACTACACAGTGCAACGTCTCAGTCGACTCGCACCACCACCACCGATACTACCTTGTTGTTGCGATACGGGATGAATTTTTCGTTGGTCGAGAGCGCCGAAATGACATCGCCCAGCGCTACATGGGTAAGGACCCACATCGTCAGCTGTGCAGGCAGACGAATCGTCGACCGACCACTCAAGCTCTTGTTGATGGCCTGCGCTTCCTTGAGCCGCTCGGCCGTCGCGCCAGTCTTGCCCGCGCGTTCCGATCCCGCCAGATCCACGAGGCTCAGCTTGCCCACACTCGTCTTCCAGCGACGTGTTCGTGGTCAGGACCGACGTCTCCCAGTACGACGCACCTGTTTGGTCGTTTTGTTGTAGTTTTGAATGAGCACGGTGAAGACCGAGTGCGACCGGGAGCTCTCAGCATTCATTTTCGTCGACCCGACTTGGCGCTTCTTGTTGGCCGCTACACGAGAAGTCGATGTCCGTCGGCGACGTCCCCCGAGCCAGGACGTGTGTCGCACCGTCAAACATGCGAAGCGTTTGGTCCGCCGACGTGCATGCTTTGGACGCGGCATTCGTTACGACCACCATCCCCTTGTCATTCTTCTTGATGTCGAGTTTCGGCGCTTTGTCTTCTTTGTACGACGAATCCAACTGCGCGAGCAAGTCGATGAGCTGATCGTTGTACAGCTCGAGCATGGTCGCTTCGTAAGCGATCGTTTGGTTGGCAGCTACAAACCGTGCGGTCAGCGCGACCGACGTCATGGCATGCCTACCTTGCGACGTTTGCAACGAGAACATGAGGTGAATCAACCGACGCGTGATGCCCGGGTGCGCTTCCGTCCCTGGCCATCCCGTGTCAGTACCTGCCATTCCAACGATGGGACGTCACCCGTCATGGTGAATGTCTTGCCGGACCCGGTCTGCCCGTACGCAAAAATGCACACGTTGTACCCGTCCAAGGCGGACTGGAGCAAGTGCTTGGTATCTTCAAACACTTGATCCTACCGCCACCACCACCGAGTGAATCCCGTCCGTCGCTCTTTGTCATGGTGCAGCTATTTACTTGGGTGTGGGATGGATTGAAAACAGCGTCGTAGGTAAAGCTCCTCGGGCCGCGGGCAGTGTCCACTTCGAGCGTAAACTAGGCGCGCAATAGGTGATTACTTGCAGGGAAAATTGGCGACCGGCACGTGGCTCACGTCGTCAAGAAATCGGACGCAGGACTGGCAGTCGCGCTCGAGTTCGCTCGTGCTCATGGGGCGGCACCGGCAGTACACGCGGATCTTTCCCTTCATGTCTTCGATCGTGTTGTAGTACTTTTTGCGCAGTGCTTGCTCTTCCTAGCCACAGCGACGAGCTCGTCAGTTTGGCTGACCGACGAGGTCGATGGAAGGGCGGGCGGCGCACTCGGTACTGCGATTCCAGCGTCGCGTACTGCTGCGTCAACGTAGTCAAGGTCGTCGATAAGGTGGCTGCCGTCGCCTACGCCGGTGGTCACCCATGAGACTGGCGACGCCAGGCGTATGATGATTGCACAATGGCGCCGCCGTACAGCTTCGGCCTGGAACACCACCAAGTCTTTCTCGAGCTCGCTCATCCGCGCGGTTTGGGTGCGCAGTGCGGTGACTGTTGCCGTGAGCTATCCGACGTGTTGGTAGCATCGGCATCGTGTGATGGAGCTCCCAGAGCGCCTGGAATGTCGAGTACCTCGTGCACGCGGCCAGTCATGTCCGCGACAGTTGCCGTCGCTTGCGCCAAATCCGCTCTACACATGCCCGAGTCGGCGCGCGTGAATCGTGGCGATCCCGATAAACATGAGTCATACTTCAACGCATGGACTTGACGCGCCGACTGGGTTTGCACGTCATCCAACACTTTTTGAGCTTTCTTTTCCGCGTCCGCGAGCTTCTTGGCCCATACACGCTCCACCACGGCGTCGCCATCGCTTTTGCTTCCTCCTGCACGAAGCAACGGGTTGCATGCCACCTCCCGCACAGGTCTTGCAGTACCTGCACTCGCCTTGGCCAGGGCTTGCTCCAGTTGGTTCAGCTTGACCCGGTCGGCCTACACGTCCATGGGGCATGTGGTCGCATCGCTGTCATCTGGCCAACCTTCCACTTGGACTCGACCACTTTTAGTTTTTGCTTCAACTCGTTGGCGGCGGTTGCGTTATTCTTGGCCGGTCCGTCGATCTAGATGGTTCGTGTCATATTTCGTGGCGACCGAAGTCCTGTGGCGACAGTACCCCTCCACCACTCGAGGCCGCCGCGGTGGACATGCGCTGCGCCTTGGCTTGACTTTGCTGTGGCTGAACAACGTTTGCATCTGCGTTGGGGTGTGCAGCAACGAATGCGTCCAATGCTTTGCGAAGGACGACCGCGCCTTTGGCTGGCCCAACTGTCGCAGCTTCCGTGATCGCCATACTCACGACCACTCCATCCGTTGCATGTCCCCTGCGACAGTAGTGGTTCACCGGATTCTATCAACATGTCATGTACTTGGCAGCTGGGAGAATCGCGTGGCAGGCGCTCGCGAGGATGGTGTAGCATCCCGCCTTGTCCCCTTGGTTCCACGCAATTTTGCCGGCTTCGATGGCACCTTTCGCGCGCTGAATCGCGGCGCCGACGTCGTCTCCGTTCACGTCGCCTTGCAACTGCATGGCTCCACTGTTCAGATCAAGATGCCAAAGTGGAGCGATCGACTGACCTTGGGTTCGGCGGCCAAGCTGGTAGCCACCACGTCAGCGGGGACGTCTGCGTCTGGCAGACATAATTGGCATGACTTGACGTAGTTTGGGCACTAATGAGGTCACCATTGACGACTCCGTTGCGGTCGTCCCGGTCGTTCAAGTCTTCATCATCTCCGTCCTGGGATGCGTCTCCGCCGACCCTAGCTCCGCCGGTCGACGCCGCTTGGATGCGCCACGACAGTAGTTCCTCTGGACACACCATGTCACGGCACACGTCCGCTGCGAGATAGGTCTACCTTGCAAGGCACATTGGGTTTCCATCAATGCGCGCGAGACTTCGTGCTATGCATGCAGCACGCGAAAAATCCATAAAGCCAACGTGAAGCAGCGAGTTCGGCCGCACCTCGGCCGCCAGGGCGTTCTGGAGATCCTGGACGACCTAGACAAGGCGTGTCGACAACTCGATTGACGGCGCAATCGATGGATGCCACGAACCTCTGCCGACTGAGAGGTCGTTGGATCAGTTGCAACTTGTCGTGGCAATGCGCTGCCTTCGGGCATCGCCGGCATCGGACCTTCCCGGGTCGACATGACGGACAGCGCATCGATGGATGGAAACGCGCCCAACGACGCTCTCTTCTGTGCATCGTTGGACGGAGCAGCCAGCGAGCCGCCGGCACGTTGCATTGACGACGCTGTCGGGAGTTCTCGCAAGACGGGCGGCGACTGCACGTCAAAGAAGCGCGGATCTTGGGTGTCGACAACCGGCTGTGAAGGCGCGTCGATTCCGGGCAGGGCCTCAGATACTGGCAAGGGAGACGGAGCAACCGGTCGAACTTCATGGGATGATAGCGGGAGTTCTGAGGCAGGTAGTGCCGTTAACGACGGCTGCGTGGCCATCGCTGGGGGGACATTCGGTGTTGCGGTCATGGCTGGTCCTTGCAGCGAAGGTTGCCGTTGAAGTGCCGCCTGCCCCCCGGTATGTCCACGTCAGTTCGTCGACTGGTCAGTTCTCACCGAGAGGGGTCGTTGGTCCGGCACGGGGGGGTTGCGCGGCTCTGGTGCGACGGTCATTGTCTTGAGCCGCGACTGAAGCGCTTCGACTTTTGCGTGGGTATCGTCCAAGGCAGCTCGCAAGTGCGCCACCTGTCAACAGCACGAATGCGGCATTCGTTTGATCGGTGCGCGTGCTTGTACCAATGTGTGGTGCGGGAATTGCCGCATGTTGACCGAGCCTTGGAGCGCTTCGACTTCTGCAACTTTTAATTCGTACACAGCTTTGGCTGCCGCCGTGTCCTGCACACATTGCTCAGGTCGTTGGAGGAGGCTAGTAAATACCTGCTTGAGCCGTGTGTGATCGTCTTCGGCTTGCTTGAACGCCACGTACAAGCCCTTCACCTGTGCGAGCGACCCATTTTAATGGCGCTCCACTTCATGAATGGAAGGAATGGCCTGGTGCGCTTGGGCCAATATTGTAGGAAGAACTGATGACCGACCTGTGCTTTATCTGACAACGTCGGGTCTCGGTTGTACGTGGCTTGGAACTGCTGGAGCCACTCTGCCAGCCCATAAAACCCCCTCTTCGACACAACGTGACGATACCTTTGATGCGCTGTTTGGCGGCAGTTTTAGCATGGAAGACCGTGGTGCTTTGGGCTAAACCTTTCAGTGTTAAGGCCTGGGCGGTAGATGGCAGGTCACCACCTTTGAGCGAGTCGAGCTGCTCTTTCAGCACTTCCATGTCGAGTTCGCACGCGATCAGGTTGGCGTATTCTTGCGGCGGCTACCGCATTCGTGTCCGGTGGGGGCCACAATCATTTGCGCGCACCTCCAAATCTGCACGATGTTTCCACTTGGTGCGTTGGAGTAGTGATGCCATTGCCGACGGCACGGCTTGGGCAGTCGCAGCTTCCAAGACGGGTCGCGGTGCTGAGGTCGTGCCTAAGCAAGTTTCTCTGAATCGTGGGTGGATTCGTCGGTCGTTTGCTCACCCCCCATGACTACATCTGTGATTACACTGGACAGCGCGGCTGCCACCTCCGACGTCACGACCAAGTCGTCGTACAAGGACTGTGTGCGAGCCAGTTGCATCTAATACGAATCCACTCCGATGAAGCGGTCTCCCTCTTGCGTGGGAATGCTGTGGCGCGTACGTTAGCATGGAGCAACGCCGTTTGCAGCGCGGTGACGTCTGCAACGAGCCAAGGTAAGGTGGCCCGATTTTAGCCAAGATGGAAGCACCAGAATCCCTCCAGACGATTTCGAAAGCACCGTCCAAGTCACACAGACATACCTGCTTGACGCAATGCCCGTTCAATGAGCCAATTGATCCATTCGGCGACATCAAATGGTGGTTCCTGGACCACTGCCACCCCCGTCGGGTCGGACGGCGTCATTGCGACCACTTTGTCGGGTGTCAAGTGGGTTTCCCACCGCCAGTCTTCGATCCTACATGTCGCTTTATGCCATGTTTTCATGTATGGAAACGTGTGTACTGCATGCCGCTATATGCCAACGCTCGGATGGCGTTGTCGCGCTGCACATGGGCGATGGCGCTCAGCCGAGCATGCTCCATGTCGTACGCTTCACACATGCACAGGATCAGTTCATGGACCCCACATGGCAAGTTTACAATGACGCAGCGCTGCGACTTCGGCTGCATGTTGTGCGTCCAAGTTAGTTCGCTCCGCGAGCCAGCTTTGCCACTCGGCGGCGTGACACCGGTCATGCTCTGTCATGGTCTCTTGGAGCTGTCGAATCTGCGTCGCCGCTTCGACTTTTGCTTCGTCTACTCGAGCATGAACATTTGACCTGTTCCGTGGCATTGCACACTCTACCGCTTTCAGTTTGGAGACGCGCGTACTGCTGCTTATGCATTTGAACTCGCTCTAGCGTTCGGCTGCCAAAATCAAGTCAGTGCAAGGCGGACGAGAGCATGCATCTTGAGCAAGGGGTAGGCAACGTGTCCACTCTCGAGTGTTTGTGCAACTTCCTACCGCTTCAGCTCGCCCACGAATGCTTCGTAATGTGCCTTGGTCGAAGCCTCGATCTTGTTGTATCGTTCAACGACTGTTGCAAGTTGGACCTCGTGGGCAGCTTTCAAAGCGTGCATGTCTTGCACCACGCGCTCCAAGTGGGACCTATGCAAAGCATACACGCAAGTCATTTATAGAATGGATGTACAGGATCGAGCGGCCAACCTCGCTAACGCCACGGGGATGTAAGCCGTCTCATCTGGCGCAACCACCGACGGCGCTTGCTGATTGCTCTTTATGGGAGGACTGGTCGCCGCGAGGACTTTGCCTTCATGGAAGGCACGAGTATTCTACACGTCAACATCATTCAGCTCGCATGGACTCTCCAGGTATGCACTCAACAGGCCCACGTACATGTTGCATGCCAGCATCCACGGCAGGATCGCGCCGCTTCAACACTCCCACGTAGATTACAAAGCTGCCGGATACTATTTCGTTTATACGGATATATCAAAACGTGATGGAAAACGGGGCACATTGTGTGCATGTTGCCCGGAAATTTTGCTCCTTGGAGAGCGAAAATGCCCATGGAGAGCGAAAATGCCCATAGAGCACGAAGCATGGCAATATGTTCAATTGGAAGTCAACAGCTTATCTGCTAGAGAGTGCAAACTTGGTAGCTTGAAGGGCGACTTGTGGGTTCGAGTGGAGGTAAGCTTGGGCTGCTTCCTTTGAGTCGGCGTACCCTGCAGTCGGGTCGGCATCTTTGCGGACAGCGCCCGAGGCAAACTCGGGGTGTTTGAGCATGACAAAGAGGTTGAAGAACGCGTTCAAGCACATTAGGATGCCGGCAACAGTCCCCATGGCTGATCCCATGCCGAAATCGAGGAAACCGATGAAGAAGATAAAACCCGCACGGCCGTTGTACGAGAAGAGAAAGCCAAAGTTGGTACGGATGCGGTTCTCCATCGTCTTCAAGCGGCATTCGAATAGGAGGAAGAGCAAGCCAAACAGCACGACGTACAGCGACAAGAGGGCGCCGGTGACGTTGAGGGTAATCAGGTCGAACACCCCGCCAATTCCAGCAATGATCTGGAATACTGAGCAAAACACGTTGCCCACTCGCATCAAGCGAAGCACGCGAGAGATGTCCATGTTCTGGATAGCTGCAATTCGCTCCGCAACGGTAGGACCCGGCGGCGGCGGCCCCGCGATGGAGGTGGACGAAGCGGACGACGACGACACCATGGAACTTGGCAAGGAACTGTCGAATATGAGACTACGGGGTAGAAACGGGGTATCAGCCAATGGGACTTCGGTATTTCAATTTCGGGCATTTTAATTGGCTGGGCCATAAAAAAGCCAGAGAGTATGTCGGGTAATAAATAAAAATTGTGCGTGTCAAGCCAAACATCAAGTAATATTTGAATTTTCATTATAATTCTCAAGTGGCATGTGAGAGCAACATTCCAAGCTCTGAAAACTCTCCAAAACAACGGCCAAAACAACGACCGATGATGTTGCTTAACCATGCAGGCTGCAAGCAATGCAACTCGCCCGCTTGGTAGCTTGAGTCCAGTAAGATCACAGTTGCGCTCGTCGCATAGCGTACAAACAACCTTTTGCTACGCCATCCGCGCTCAGCCCATTGCTAATATCTCGTCTAAACATCACAATGACCTCGTCACGCTATGCGATTCACTGTCAACTTGACTGCGCTGTGGGTGCAGGGGGATTTTTCGCAGTGAAATATTGTACACACGACAATCTATGTTGCGCTATTTTTGCAGGCTTGCAAGCAAACACGTCATGAAGGCAGCACCTCAACATCGCATTCCTCCCAGTCCTTCCTCAAACCCAAATACGTGTACCACATCATATCATTCAAAGCATTCCTTATGGCTATAGCGCCAGCTGGG